TCATCCCTGCTGGCAATCACTTCAGCACGCCGAGTTAGTGAATTGGCAGCTCTATCCATCGATCCACCATACATGCTATTCTCTGGGCATGGGGTAGTGCTCCGTGTCCATCCTCCCTTCCTCCCGAAGGTGAATTCTCCTTTTCATATAAACGAGCCCATAAGTCTGCCAACATTCTATCGAAAACTGCATTCTTCACCAGAAGAATTGCGTCTACATACGCTCAACATCAGACGAGCTCTGGTCTTCTACCTCGACAGAACGCGTCTTTTCAGGAAGTCTCGGCGTCTTTTTATAGCCACTGCTGAGCGTTCAAAAGGCCAGCAGTTCTCCGCACAACCTATTTCCAACTTAATCGTCTCTTGCATCACACGTTGTTACGCCCTACGGCATGAGCCTTTACCAAGATGACCTCATGCCCACTCCACCAGAGGCACGGCCGCATCCAGTGCTTACCTTAGAGGTGTACCCTTGTAGGACATATGCCGTGCAGCAACTTGGTCATCTGCTCTTACCTTCGCCAGATACTATGCTCTCGCGAAAATATTGAAGAACGATTCAGCGGTGGTGCAAGCAGTTCTGTCCACAGTGCAGAGGCCATAAGTCCGAAGCACAACGATAGCATTAGACCACTGCTGTGTACTTACCTCGAGTGGAGCACCCTGGGGACACTACTCAACGAAGAAGAGAGAGTTACTCACCTTGTTCAGTAACATCTGTTCTTCGAGATGTGTGTCCCCGTGGGTGCTCCACAACCCACCCTCCTCCCTGCTTCGGAGCTTTTGTTTTTATCTTTCAGATGCTTCCGATTGGGAGGAAACTGACAAGCCAGCCTGCGCTCAGCTGTAACGGTGCAAACAGCGTGAGACAGCAGGAGCGCATGTACAGGCCAGCAGGGCTACTGCTAGGGAAGATTCTCCATTTGCGGCGCTGGGATGAGCCCAGCACCTCGAGTGGAGCACCCATGGGGACACACATCTCGAAGAACAGATGTTACTGCACAAGGTGAGTAACACTCTCTCATACAGATAAGAAGGTCATGTGAAACCATATCAAATGCTTTACTAAAGTGTAGGTATACCACATCCACCACTTCTCCCTCATCCACAAGACTTGTTATCCTATCAAAGAAAATTATCAGATTGGTTTGACAAGATTTTTTCTTTACAAATCCATGCTGGCTGTTACCTATCACCTTATTATCTTCCAGGTGTTTGCAGATGAATTCCTTAATTACTTGCTCCATTAACTTCCCTGGCACAGATGTTGAACTGACTGGTCTGTAGTTTCCTGGATTGTTCCTATTTCCTTTTTTATAGATGGGCACTATATTTGCCCTTTTCCAATCTTCTGGAATCTCTCCCAATTTCCATGATTTTTCAAAGAAGATAGAGGAGATATCTGAGCCTTTAGCTTTCAGCTCCCTGAGTATTCTGGGATGCATTTCATCAGGCCCTGGAGATTTGAAGACATCTACATTTTCTAAGAATTTTTTTAACTTGTTCTTTTCCTATTTTAACTTTTAAACCTACCTCATTTCTAAACCTACCCCTCTGCAGTTTTCTATGAGAACAAGATATGCCTATGCCCTCATCCAAAGTTTTTAACCAAAACATTGCCTGATTGTTTTGGAAATGAGAAACTATGTTTTACAATTTTACTCATGAGTATAAGCACCAGGCTTAGGTGAGATTCCACATGTTGGATATTAAGAGAGTATTTTAACATTTTACTTGGGCAGGAATAAATTGTTAATTTGTCCTTGCAATTGTTCGTAAAAGTTGAAAAAAGGATGAAGAACCTTCCAATTTCTCTTCAAAGATTTCCATCATGGATCGTCTCATGTAGTATAACATGGACAATATAACTGCATGTGACGGGGTGAGGCAACCCCGCACTAAAGGGGCCCCCCCCAGCGAGGCTGGAGAAAGCGGCACGGCTTGTCTCGCCGCTGCCGAGGACGCGTCCGGTGGGGTAACCGGAACGTGCCGCTCGGCAGGCGGTCGAGCTGACGGGACCCTGAGCAGCATGGGGGAGGGTGGTGACGGGCCGCGCCGCTCGGCAGGCGGGCGAGCGGGCGGGACCCCGAGCAACACGGGGGAGGGCGGTGACGGGGTGAGGCAACCCCGCACCGAGGAGGGCCCCCCCAGCGGGGCAGAAAGGAACGCCGCGGCTGGACCTGCTGCCGCCGGGGACGCAGGCAGCAGGGCAGCCGGGACATGCCGCCAGGCTGGCGGCTCCAGGGACGCAGCCCGGGACAGCGCGGGGGAAGAACCCCCCCCCGGCAAGGTTAGTGGGGACAACCGGGCAGGGACGGCACCCCACCAGCCTCGGGGCGGGCAGCCCCGCGGGCGCCCCAGCCGGCCCTATGCCCCACAGCTGCAGGAGAGGGAGAGAACGCTGGGGGGTGAGGAGAAACAGCTGGGGAGGAGAAGCTGGGGCCGTGGATGAGCACAGGTGTGAGTGTTCTGGAGGGGCGGGGCGGCACCTTCCCCAGGTATAAAGTCAGGAGAGGCAGAAGCAGGGGAGGAGGAGAAGGAGGACGCTGGAGTCAGAGACTGAGAGACACCGAGGAGGCGGCGAGACCGGCCAGCTGGTGAGCGGACGAGCGAGGGCGTGAGGAAGCAGCCCAGGGTGGGTGTACTGGAGCCCGAGGGTTGATGCGTTGCGGCTCTGTGCCCCATCAGCCAGGTCGGGGGAGAGAGGAGCCTCTCCTCCGCCTTAGGGCCCTGGGCTGGGGTCTGGAGAGAGGGAGGGCCCGGACCCCCCTCACCTCCTCGCTCGTGGGATCTTCTGCGCGACCGATGGGAGGGTCGACCCGGCGCCGCGTCACGGAGACTGGGACCTTTCGGGGCGGCAACTGTGGTAGTGTGGCTGCCCCGGGCGGGGGGGGCCTGTGGACCCCGTAACACTGCACTAAACAGGATGCCAACAATAGCAATTCAGCTTCTCCAGCTTTTCTGGCCCAAGTACTTATTTTGAACATTTGTAACCTAGCAACTTTGGTCTTCATTTTGCATACTAATGCTTTCCATTATGCCATCTCTCAGCAGTATTGAGATTATGCCAGATTTGAACTATACACTCCTTTAATCATTATTCAGACAAACTTTGATCCTACCTGCAGATTGAACCAGTTGGGTGCATCTACACTGCACTCTTATCTTGAAATAAACTATGCAAATTGTATAGCTTATTTTGAGTTAATTTTGAAATAGTTTATTTCAAAATTTGGTGCTGTCTACACAGCGTGGAACAAGGTTTACAGGGACTTCAGAACTGTAAACCCATTGTATTTCTAAATAATCCCTTTCAGTATCCCAAAATAGCACCATAGTGCAGACATAGCCTTTGTGAGTAGAATGGACATGTGCAATCACTTGCAAATGAAAAAATATTAATATGAAATTATTGTTCTTTGATTTGTGTTGCACGTGTCATCTACAACCTACTCTCCTCGCTCTGTGTATTGGAGTCTGTCTGGTAAGAGAAAACAGAGAGGGCAGCAGCACAAGGGAACAGAGGACACGTGGCATCCATATGAGTACCCCGAAGGAAAATGTTGATGCTAATGTATTGGGTATTCACAGACCTGAAGTCAAATGAGAACTTGCAATACATCTCAAAGGGCAACTCCTGGAACTCAAGATCATTTGTCAGGCTTACACAACATTTCTTCTACTCCTATAAAAGTTAACTATTCAGATTATGACACTAAGATTGTATATCGTTATTGTTCAGCACAATGTACTGCTTATCTTTTTTTAAATTAGGTAGGGGTTAGTATATTTTCCCTTTCAGATTATGAAGTAAGTGTCTCCATACATGTATATAGGAAAGATCTACTGTAGGTTTTTAAATGCTGTATATTACATTCGTTCGCCAAATATTTTATAGTATGGATATATTAACTAGACATTGATTTTAAGCATGTTAAGATTATTGTGAAATAAATCAAAAAGTAATTTGATGTTTGTAGTTATAAATTGAAGTAGATAAGAATTCCTTTTAAATGACATTATTTTCAAAGTGGTTTCATAGAAACCACAGCAAAATCCTATAAATCCAGTTGATCATGTAGTTACATGCATTATAACCGTGTTTACATTTTCAAATGTGTTTGTATCATCTTTATAGAGGTAATGGATACCATAAGTTTTATCTTCTGCACTTTGTTATAAAAATATGGTAGGATAAAAATTCCAGCAGTACTGGAGAGATATATGAGAATTGTTACTGTTGATTTATATGAGCTTGCTTTTAATTTATCAATATGACAATATCTGAGTAAGCCCTGAAACATTAGAAGCACAATTATGACAGCATAAAAAACATAATAGCATATTACTATTATTTTTACCACTTTTATTCCATTTCAGTTAACCAATAAAAATAAAGGGCAATCAGACATACACTAAATATTTGACATTCCTACAGATGTGTTTTACAATTTTAAATTAAAGAATGCAAATTATAGAAAGCATTATTAAAAAAGTTTGAGTATAAGCCATGATAACAGAAGACAAATATTTTCTTTGGTTATACTGTAGTTTTTTCCTTACACTAGGATTTGATTGTGCTACATTTCATAGTTCTCAGCTCTGCACTTCATATTACTTTTTCAGCACATTAAAACTTATGCAGTGAAACTGAATAATGGCAAGTGTTTTTATACCCTTTTATAGCCATTTCTTTTTCATAACCTCCCCCTGTTTCCTGTTAGCTAAACTATAAGCACCTTTCTCTTAATTTATGAAAATTATTGTTGAGTGAGCACATTATCACTGATCTGTATGGCACTTTCAGCATGTTAGAAGCAAAGGTCCAAGCAACATAAAACACATCAAAATTCATTAATGTGATATTGATTATTTTTTGGATAATTAATTTTATTGCAGACCCTTGAAAGAGATAATGAGCTGCAAAGGGAGAAGGCAAAAGAAAATGAAGAAAAGTTCCTTAATCTTCAGAATGAGTATGAAAAAGCACTACGAACTTGGAAAATAGATGTAAGTTTATTCAATTTAATGTTAACGTAATAAAAGGTTTTTAAAATAGTCAAACATTTAAAATAATTCCTAAAAGCCATGAAAATATTGCAAAAATAATGTATGAAAAAGTAAAATATTTTCTTCCCTGGATGCTCCAAATTTTTGTTGAAAAATACTTGAAAAATGTAGATTTTGCCCAAACTCTATTTGACATTCATTTTCGAAGGCCATGCACACATCTTTTTTGAGCCTCCATCACAAAAGCCATAGGGAGACTTTTGTTTTATTTGTTTTTCAGACATAGAATTAGCACTTAGATATAGTTTCTGAATTATGCATTTTCCAACCTCTGCTTATGTCTGAAGTATCCAATCATTTCCTTAGTATGTTCTCAACATTTGCTATCCTAGGCTACCCCGACATTATTTATAAAAGCCAGGCCCAGCATTAGGCGATAGCAAGCAAAGCAATTATTCAGGTCCCATGCCACAGCGGATCCTGTGAAGCCAAGTTGTTCAGGCTTCAACTTCAGTCCTGGTTTGTAGGGCATAAGACCCCGGGTTTGAGCCACATGTGATGAGGTTTTGGCTTTCTGCCCTGGGCCCTAGCAAGTGTAATGCAGGTCCTGATTGCTGCTCCTCCTCTCCAAAATTTGCTCATGGCCCTTTAGAGGACCCCACATGCTTAGTTGAGAACCAATGTGCTAATATATTTTGCATTTACATTGGCAATTATATTTCTACTACAGAACCTTGTCATAGTACTTAAACTATAACAAATATTATATTTGCATTTTCTAGATTGTATTCCTGTACATAAAAATCATAGAACCATAGGGTTGGAAGACACCTCACGAGGTCATAGAGTCCAATCCTCTGCCCAAAGCAGGACCAATCCCAACTAAATCATCCCAGCCAAAGCTTTGTCAAGCCAGGACTTAAAAATCTCTAGGGATGGAGTTTCCAGTACCACCTCCCTCCTCTAATACCTCCCATTTCAGTGCTTCACCACCATCCCAGTAAAATAGTTTTTCCTAATATGTAACCTAGACCTCCCACCACTGCAACTTGAGACCATTGCTCCTTGTTCTGTTATCTGTCTCCACTGAGAAAAGCTGTCTCCGTTCTCTTTGGAACCCCCTTCAGGTATCAAAACCCCCTTCTCTTCTGTAGACTAAATAAGACCAAATCCCTCAGCTGCTTCTCATAAGTAATGTGCTCTGCTCCCCTAAACATTTTTTATGCCCTCTGCTGCACTTTCTTCAGTGTGTCCACATCCTTTCTGTAATGTGGGCCCCAGAATTGGAAGCAATATGTGGCCTCACCCCAGTGTCAAATAAAGGGGAATAATCACTTCTCTATATCTGCTGACAACAATCCTACTAATGCACCCAAATATGCAATTAGCCTTTGACAGAGCTGTTCCCCACTCTGGCATTCTGAGTGAAGGCTGGACTGAGGGTTTGGGGATAAGGAGAGGTGGGGTGGGTGGCTTAGGGGAGAGGGTTGGAAGGTGGGAGCTTAAGGCAGGGGTGGAGGCCTTAGGGCAGGGAGAAGGATGAGAGAACTCAGAGGAAAGGAGGTGGGAGTGCAAGACTCAAGGCAGGAGTGGGAGTTATGTGGCTTACTGGGGCCACCTGTGATAGTGAGGGTAGCATTGTTCCAGTTGTTCCTCTCAGGGACTCTTGCAGTGCTCCCCACCCAGTGGCTCCTCTGAGGGGCTGGGGCTGCCCTGCCCGGAGAGCAGCTTCTGCAGGGAGGAGATGATCTGGGTCTTTGTGCTTGTTGGGTGCAGGTAGGGTCTCTGTGAGCCAGTCCCAGCTTCCAACTGCCCCCCATGGCCTGCATCCTGTTGGGGGGGGGGCAGCCCCCAGCTGCTCCAGGGGGACCTTGCTTAGGGCAGTACCACCTCCCCACCCCATCCTGTAGCCTTTTGGGGAAGAGGTGGCTCTCTGCAGGCTGGCCCCAGCCTCCAGCTGCCCTCCTGCCCTGCAGTGCTATGTGGGCTATCCTCCAGCAGCCCCCACCATCCTTCAGCCTAGCTCCATGGGCTTATCCTGGTCTTCAGAGTCCCCCTGCAGCCTGCAGGTTGTTGAGGTGGAGGAGCCTTCAGTGGCCCACTGTGGCCTGCAAGCTGTGTGTATGTGTGAGGGTGAGAGTAGGAGGGCTGCCTCCCATCCTGCCTCCCATCCTGCAGTCTGTCAGGGGACAGGCTCTAGGGAACCTGGCAACTAGGTTGTCTGGGGAGGGACCAGGCTCTCTGTCCTTCCCACCTACCTACAGCCTGTGTGCTATGTAGGGAGAGATCAGGCTGCGGGGTTGGCCCCTTCCAGTTGTCCCCCTAGCAGCGTGCAGACTGTCTGGGTTCCGAGTCTCTGGGGTCTGCCACTGGCCTCCAGGGCCCCCCGTGACCTGCAAGCTGTCTGGGGCAGGGCCAAGGATCCGGGGGCTGCCTTCCTTCAGCAGCACCCACAGCCTGCAGGCTGTCTGGGAGGGTCAGACTGGGAGGCTCTCTGGGAGGGCAGACTCCAGGGGTTGCCCCCAACCTCCAGCAGCCTCCCCCCCCCAGGACTTGCAGGCTATCAGGGGGGACAGGCTTCAGGGGCAGCCCCTCCCTCCAATGCCCCTTCCCTTCCCTGCAGCCTGCAGGCTGTCTGAGGAGGGGCAAGGCTCCAGGAGCTGCTCCCCTCCAATTCCCCACTTCCACTTCTCCAGGGAGAGACAAGCTCTGGGGGCTGCACCTTGCTCCAGCAGCCCCTCCTGGCCCCCTGGGGCAGAGAAGTTGGGCTTTAGGGCAGAGGGGACTCCTTACTGGTGTGCTGGCAGGCAAGATGGTGGAGACACATCCTTGCTGGTCACGCTTTTGGCCCTGGTCTACACTAGGGAACAATTTTGAAATAATGCCCCTTAAGTTGAGTTAATAAGCAGAGCATCCACACTACCAAGCTCGTTATTTTGAAATTACTGACCGGTTATTGTCGGAGAATAATGCTAATTTTGAAATAGTGTTAGTGTGGATGCTCTTCTGATGCTAACTTGAAATAATTGGCCTCCAGAGGCCTCTCACAACTGCACCTCTGGCTGCTCTGGCCACACGTAGCATCTCCACTGTTCCCCTTTCCCTGTGGAGCTTAAAATTCTAGATAGCAGAAGGGCTTCCGCCATGTGGTGACCTTTGCAAGCTAGAGAGGGAGTCATGAGACACCCAATGCTCCCTCAGAGCCTCCCACAGCAGCCAGTACTCTTGCTGTGCCCTCAGCTGCTACTGCTCAGGGACACAGGAGAGCTTCATCCTGGACTGGTGCAGAGATCATGGGCCTCATCGAGGTCCTAGGGGAGGAGGATCTCTCCAGGATCTCTGCACCAAAAAGAGGAACGAGTTTATCTACTGGCTGGATCACTGCCAGCCTGGCCAACAAAGGCCACACCCGGACCCTGGACCAGGTCTGGATGAAGATTAAAGAGCTCTGGCACACCTACCATACAGCTACCACTACTGTGAGCAGCTGGATGTCATCCTGGGAGGGGAAGACAGTCACCTCCCCGCATTGTCGTGGAGTCCAGCCAGGACACACCTGACATGAGCCTCTAGGAGGGCAGGGTGGTGGATAACAACAAGGAGGAGGAGGAGGAGGAGCAAAAAAAGGAGGCAACCATGCCCGCCAACCACGAGCTGCTCCTCACCTTGGAGCCTCTCTCTCATCCCAGGTTGTCTCCTTGGCTTCAGACAAACTTGGGGGATGCACTTCAGGTGAGTTCCATCACTTTCCCTATATACACACATGGGCACCAACAGTGGGCTGCAAGGGGCTGTGCACTCCTCTTGGCCTTCTTGTGGGTGCACATGGAGTGCCAGTCTGGAACACTCAGCCCCATGATACATTCACATTGGAACCCCACTCCCCCAGTCCTTCTCACAAGGTTCCTGGAGAGGCCTGCCTTACTTTGGACTCTGTGCCAGGACACCTTCCCACAATAAGCCACCACTAAAGAGTCTGGGGTCATGGAACCACACAGCAGTGCCACATAGGGTCATGCCTGCACTCAGGCAGCATCCACTCCTGGACATGAGCGGTGTGGTAGAGAAGTATTTACTGTCATATTTGCACAGCACCCACTGAAACAGAGTTGTGATCCATATCTGAGGCTTCTAAACACTACTGCAATATCATATATATAGTAGCCCAATGTCTGTGACTCTGTAACGCTGAAATGCTGGCTGTTCCCTCTGGGAGGCGCTGTTATCTCCTGCCGTGGCATTCGGCTGACTTCTGCGCCGCTCAGCCAGGCCGCTGCGGAGGACCAAGTGGCAGAAGCGGCCGTTTGGGCGCCATGGTCCCCATGCAACACCCCCGTGCTTGCTCCCCCGCGGTGGCCTGAGAGGCACAGAAGTCAGCTGAGTACCACGGCAGGAGGGGAAGGGCGGTGGGGCGGTGACGTACATGGCCAGGGGGCAGGGCCTAGCTGTGTGCATCACCGCCCTGCCCGCCTTTGCCTCCCCCTTCGCCTCCCATCATGGCGCTTGGCTGACTTCTGTGCTGCTCAGCCAGGCCACCATAGGGGAGCCCAAATGGCCATTTGCTCTGCTTGATCCCCCATGGCGGCCCGGCTGAGCAGCCCAGCAGTCAGCCGAGTGCCACGGCGGGGGGGGAAGGGGGGAGCGCTGACGC